CTGTGTTTCCAGTCAGTTCAGGACACATACAGGAACCAGATGCAGGCCGGACGGGCAGCACTCACAGCCTGCCTATGCCTGCCACCCCCTAGGGGGGGCCAGGGGAAAGTAAAGCACAGAGTCGAACCACAGGACCAGCAGATCTTGGAGCACTCACTCACTCAGTTCAGGGCACACCCAGGGATGGCCTCACATGACCCCCCTCAGCCAGAGAAGTCCCTGGGGCTTCTGAGTGGGACCCCCTGTCTGCCACGGGTACCCGGAGGGCAGAGACTTAGTCTGTAATGGTGACAGGGTCATTGTTCACCCACTCTGTTTTGAGGAAGTAGATTGGAAATATCTGGCTTTCTCCCAAGTTTCAGCTGGGAACTGTGGCAGTGTGAGTAAAGCATGGACTCGAGCCGTGTGGCCAGCAGCTCTCAGAGCACTCACTCACTCAGCACAGGGTGCACGGGTGCAGGGAAAGGCTACATGCCACCCCCCCCAAGCCAGAGAAGTCCCTGGAGCTTCTGAGTGAGGACCTCCTGTCTGCAGCTGCTGCCTGGAGGGCAGAGACTCAGTCTGTAATGGCGGCAGGGTCCTGGGTTGCCCACTCTGAAATTTTTGAATTTAAACTCACTGAGGTTGACACTTATTTGTTACAATATTTGATAATCACCAGGCAGCACTCTAAGAGGAAATAATTTTACTTTACTACTTATGTGAATAAAAACAATAATTTTTAGTATAACTTAAAATTTGTGTTATTCATATCTTTTGACTGCATAAATAGGATAAGAAAATTGTTTCATTTATTATCAAATCATTAGAGATTATAATTCACTATCTATACAACAAAAACAGGGGGATAGAAAGATACTGAAGAACTGGCTCAAAGATTCCTGAGTTAGATACAGAGGGAAAAATGCAAACACTTTGTCAATACAAATTATCGCCACAAATTTTATTGACTGGCTGAGTAAATATAGACATAATAGAGAGTTAAATAGAATAGAATGATTTTAATCTGTAATACAGTGTTGAGGCTGCTGAGACCTTTTTAAATTCATTTTACTGATTGCACATCAGAAATTGCCAGCCTGGTAGAAAATACTACATCTAGTACAAACTCATTACTGATATGAAAATGTTATATCTCTGTGATCCCCTTCTTTCACAGATCTTCTCTGAGGAATAAAATATCTATTTCACAGTAAAATATTTTTCCACAATTTCTAAAGGGCATTTAAAAAATATTTTTCTTTAATAGTAGCATGAAAAAAGTATAATCTTATGATCACATGGGTTCTTCACTCCTCCTTTTTCAAAACCATTATATGTATTGGAAAGTCCCTACAGGTCCCAGTGAAAGAAAATAGTTCTTGTCTGTAGGAAAAGTATGATAAGAGATTTTGTAATTCATTGTCCATATATAAGTGCTTTCTCAGCAGATTTGATTCTAACTCAGTTTAAAATATCCATAACTACATCTAGGCTATTCTTTAACTCCCCCCAGTGAATGTAATCATTATGTACTGCAAACATGTACTAATAAAATTAAAAATTAAAAGAATAGCATCCTAATTTTTATAATTTCTTTTATACTTATCTATTTTTATTATAAATGTAAAAATGAACTTTAAGTTGCTTTTAACTTTCACAGTATAACATTCCATAAAGGAAGTGAAGAGGAAATGAATTACAAATTAGATGATAGCAGAAATAAAAGAAAACAATTCTTTAGTTTCAACTAACAGCTGGTCTCAGTTAATGCTATCACACAAAATCAAGATGAAAAGCTTAACTCTGAACATGAAATACATACACACTACATCTTCATTCTTTTTTAAATCCCCCTCCTCTCCTCTCCCCCTTCCCTTCATCTTTTGGTCCCTTACCCTTTGCACAAGATCTATGTCCCTATTTCCTATTATCTGTCTTTTATCTTGCTCTAAAGTTTATTTATATTTTGGGGTGAGGCTATGTGTGTCAGAGGGCTTTGGTCCTTATCTTGAGCATCACTTCCTGGCTGCAGTGTACATCCCTCAGCCTGCTGGCACAGATCTTCCACCCTGCCAACACAGACTTTCTAGCTTCCACCACTAGGAAGACATTTGGGCCTTCCCAGTGCAGCTCCTTGACACAGATTTGCGTGAGACATTGTCATGGGCTCTAGACCTCCAGCTGGACTCATGGAGGATATTTCCATGGGCTCTAGGTCTTCAGCTGGACTCATGTAGGACACTGACATGGGATCCAGGCCCTCGGTTGGATTCTTTCAGTCTCTAGTACATGGACAGATCTTTTGTGCTCTTCTGCATTTGTCCCTTTGGGTGAATATTGTAGAATAGTTCTATAAATGATGTATCCTATATTAAATCTATTCCCTTGGAAAACCTGACTACAACACTGGGGGAGGGTTCATTTGTTTCTTTATTATTCTTAATGAGAAATGAAACTTCCCATTAATGAATGTTATCAATACCTAAAGTAGCTTATAAGGAATTATATATAGAACTAATTTCAAAGTGCTTTATATTCACACAGACAAGATTCTTGCTGAAATACTTACATGTTAATTTTCTAAGCATAGGAAATCAGTAAAAAATATTACCTTATTTTTCTGAAGCACCTATTCTGCTTAGTGCTCTTGAGAACCCCAGTGAAGGGAATACAAAGAATTTATGAGAAAAAAAGTAAAACTACCCAATGTAAAGCCATGATAACAATTCTTAGTGCACACAGATATGATGGGAATGTAAAGGAAATATCACTGGGTGCAGCTTGCAAGGAAAAGCAGCAGCATATGAATTCTGAGGTGGACAGCATGTGTGGTGGTTTCAGAGAGAAGCAAATTGAGAAATAATCCTGACAAGTGAATACAAAAGTAAAGGCAGGAGGCAAGATTGAACAAGTGTAGGGACAATAACAGCTGGTTAAGCAGTGGAAGACACAGCTGGTTAAGAGAGATGAATCCCTCCCTGGGAAAAACTGGGGCTGAGAGGATGAGACTTGAGCATTTACCTGAGGTACTTATGGAATAAAGGTTAAAATATCCAAAAGCCTGAGATTGACTGATACTGCCACTTACTAGTTATTAGACCATGGACAAGTGCTTTAACTTTCTATTCCTTCAATTTCCTTATCATGTAAAGGGGATAAGAATAACATGAGGAACTGGGGCTGGGGATTTAGCTCAGCGGCAAAGCGCCTGCCTGGCAAGCGCAAGGTTGTGAGTTCGGTTCCTGGTACCGGAGAAAAACCAAAAACAAACAAACAAACAAACAAAAAAAAGAATAATATGAGGAAGTTACATAATAATAGAAGCGAAGTTCTTGCAAGTTCTTTGGATTCTGACACTATGAAAGGGAGGATACATGTTTAAAAACAAACAACCTAAAAATGCTCCTCTGGCTGACATAATCAGTGCAAATTGTAAACATGGGGAAAGAACTTAGGCAGTCACAGTCCTACTAGCTTAGTTTTCCCCATTAACATCTGTCATCAATCGTCATTCAGACTAGAATATATGTCTTTTTCCTCCTACCTCTTGTTACCTAAGAGTTTGCCTCTCTCTGGCTAGAAGAGTTCATGGAACTTTCAGGTTTAAAACCTGGGTCTTCTAGATCCCTACTCATAAGAATACTGACAGTTCACTTGACCTCAGTAATTGCTAATAAAGCTCTTTATTCATATTTTGGTGAAATAAATGACTTTGAGGAATTTTACAGAATATGCTAAGTCCATGATAAGTGGAAAACTTTTTTAGGTTCTAATTCCATGCTTGACAGATTGGGAGCTTTATTACCACAGTTAACCTTGAGTATATCTTTCTTTAAAATATAGATTCATATGTAAAATCTAGCATTTGCATACATTGCAGTAATTTATGATGGTCATCCTTTCTAAGGTTTGAGTTCATAAAATAGACAAGAATTACATTTCCATCATTGGTATCTGTACACACAATTTTGTCCACATCCTTTTTATGTCCTAGGGTAAAACTATACGCAGGGCAGATGAATTGCGCCCCAAATTCAAATATAAAGCAAGTAATATAGAAGCAAAAATAAATATGTCACATATACTTATTTCAGGTAAATACCATTTTCCCTTCATCTGAAATTTTATCTTTTAAACATGGGTAGTTGAGCAGAATAAATGCATTCTCTTCTGCAAAAAAAATCAAAGTTATTTATGATGAACATCCTATTTAATAGAGGTGTATTGGGAGCTATAACAATTGATATGATAAAACAAGAAACAAATGATGTTCAGTTCTCATCTTAGCCTCTGCACTAGATTAGTACAAAATCGGTTGCCTATTTTTCATGTATTACTAGCATTTCTCTGTTGATCAAATCTATGTCCAGTAAAGGGATGATCAGGAAAGACTACCAATACTGCCAACTGTGTAGCATTCATCAATTTACTGAAATTTTTCTGCTTGAAGTCCCATAAAACAATTTATGAATTTCTCCTTTCTATTTTATATTGGGAATGCTTCAGAAATGCCACTCTAATGTAAGTCAGCCAAAATTGCTGCACAATAATAGAATTTGTATTGCAGCTAAAAAAGCAGCAAAAGTAACTGCCTAAACTTAAACTCTGACTTTGGCTTGTAGGCTTTTCTAAGAAAAAACTAGAGGACAAAGAAAAAGAAAGTGAAATGCTGGATTCCTTTGTAATCCACATTGTAATTCCAATCCCCTTTGTAAACTCAGAAGGAAATAATGCTATAAAGAAATAGATATATGCATATGTTACGGTGTGATTCTACTTTTATATAAGCAGGTTGGAAATGAGTTCCTATTAATAAAATACAAATAATTTAGTCAGCACAGAGGGTGGGGATTTAGCTCAGCAGTACAGCTCCTGCCCGGCAAGCGCAAGGTTGTGAGTTCGATTCCCAGTACTGGGGAAAAAAAAAAAATTTAGTCAGCACAGTTGGAAATCTCTGAACTGCAGCATGTATTTCTGTAATTGCTCTAATCCTCATGTGTTCTCTTGCTCTTTTGCAGGCAGACCGGTAATGATTGTGGTGGAATATATGGAGAATGGATCCCTAGACTCCTTTTTGAGGGTGAGGTGCTCTTTTCTGGTGGCATTTAAATAAGCTATTCTTAGTTCTAGATTTGAAATCATTTATCATAAATTAATTTTTGCAAAGTGTTATGGCTGGATTTTCTGTGAAGTCTGGTAGCAGTTTCTCTAGGGTACACTTCCCTGATACTGTGATAAATTAAAATGTATCACTAAGGGGCAGGATGTACCTTTAATAATATAATTGATTTTCCCTATAAATTTACATATATTCATGCATACACACATGTATGCACACACTCCAAATGAGCTTATCAGAAAGAAAGAAATTTAAAGAAACTCAGTTGCCTGACACACCCATTCATTTTTCTCTACCACACTTAACAATTCAGTGTGATATTTTATGTAATGTCTGTAATGTTCAACCCCTTAAATGCTGCACATTTAGCAAGAGTGGCTCATGCTCATTTGAGAAAGCTAGTTCTATCAACTTTGTCTCTCAAGGTCATTGGGCTGATTATTCAGAAAACAAAACAAAAAAGTGCTTAAGCAGTGATTTGCTTTAGAATAATATTTTTAAAGTGTTCTTTTTAATGTGACTTTTCCCTAAAAATAGAATACATACCGAAAAATCATTAGTTTTATATAGTGGTACAAAATAGCAAAAGGTGAGAAAACAACAGGAAGTTATATTTCAGAGTAGTCCTGTGTATAAGAGTCAAAAAGCCATTACATGCTACCAGAGGTCATGTGTTTATATGCCACTGTATTCTTTGATGTATATCTAATAACATAAACAACCATTTTTCTGCTTATGAAATGGCTGGTACTTTGTCATTTGGAATGTGTTACGTTCTCTCTTATTTTCATGTAAAAATTAAGCATTCTTCCTTCATTGCATGTTTGACCATGTTAGTCAGACAAGTTCTGTTTGCATCTCACTTTTCTGTCTTGATCTCATTTTCATTTATTTTTCTTGATTCCATGCCCTGTACTTCTAAATGCTCTCAGTATTAGCAGTGATGATATAACTTACACCATGACTAAACTTGGTGTCCAGATTCAAAACAGAAGCTGAATTCAGCAAAATCTTCACCCATTATAGAGCAACACTACTTTCACAGTGCATGCTCTTAAACAAATGTGCTCTTAAGGGAAAATAGAATTCATAGGTGTTTCATATATGAATGACTTCCTCTTTTCTGTAGCCATTTTAAAATATGTTATTTTATGACTTTTATTCATCTCATCTGTAAATGTTCTAAATTACTTTAGAATAATTTTTCAGGCCCACCTATGGTACTTGATGCGTATATACTGTGCCCTTCCTTTAGATATATTCAAAGCCACACTTTTATCAGACACATATCAAAATGACCCACTATCTAATGATGTTTAGGATAGGTTGGTTTTCTGTTTCTTTTCTTTTTTGATATCAGCTATTATCCTAAAGCAGAATATAATGGCAAACAAAATAGCAGCTACTCAATTTAAATTGCTGCGGAAAATTGTGTCAAATGACTGCCACAAGCATATCCATTAAGAAATGTTAGTTTCAGACATACTTTTTACCCTGCCGAATCATGAATCAATTATGTTATAAAGAAACAATATGTTATAAATAAACAATTTACTAATAAACATCCTACTGAATTATAAGTGGTGTATTTCATAAGTTTTAAAACTAGTATTTTCACTTCTTACTATGCACCAGGCAGGTAGCTGTTACCAGAGTTTGGGAGAAGAATAGCTGTTGGGTGGATGGTGGCCATACGACTTCTACTGTGACAGCCTAAATGCCCTCCTCTGCTAGTACTGACTCTGCCACCAACTGGCATGCTACCAGCTTCATGCTACATTGGACATACTACCAACTTCTCTGTGCCTCTCCTTATCCATCTGGAAGTGGGGACATGAACAATGTCCACCTCATACAATTGTTTAAATGTTCACATTTGTAGAGCACACAGAATAGTGTGGGACACATTATAAGTGGTAGAGTGAGGGCTGAAACTAAAGTCTTTATGACTCAAAGCACCATAGTCTAAAAATCCACACTCTGATATCTGAGTTTTCATTAAATTGCTTCCTACTTTCTTTATAATTATGTTTCCTCTGTATTCTATGTCTCCTCTGCACTTATAGTTTCTACTAAAATTAAAATTATGGCATTAAAATATAAAAAGAAAATCATAGGAAGGGGAAGAATTTTCAGTTCTCCTACCTGATCCTTCTTTAACATGACTATACTTTGGAAGCTCAAAGTGCATTATAAACTTGATGTCAATAGCAAGCACTGAGCTCCCATGGCAAGCACAAATAAAATATAAGTATGTGCAGCCTGTAAATCCTCAAAAGCAAAGCCGTTTTTCAACTCGTGCTTTAGAGTTTTGATAACCACAGCTCTGTGAGAGCAGAGAGGAGGAAGTGACCAAATTCCTGCACAGTCGGGGCCGCACTCGGCTCAGTAACAGCCTTCTCTCTTACCAAAGGCAAAGAGGTCTCTCTTGTCTTCCACACTGTTTGAAAATAACTTTCATTTGCTATGTTATTATGAAGAAGTGGTAGCACAGCTAAGTACAAGATTACAGTCTAGAGCCAGTGCTAGTGTCTGAGTGGCTGTGATACTTCCCTGAATTCATGAATCTCATGCCATTTGGGACCCTTGTGGACATTTTTCAAGATATATATTAGCAGTGGAGAGGTGTGGTCACGTGTATAAGTGTGTGTGCGCACATGTGCATATGTGCAGAGAAGGGCTGCGTGTGAGACATTATGTGTGTGCCTTTAATTTAAAAATGAAATGTGACCCACCTGAGTGAGCAAAGCATCAGCCTGGCTGCCCAGAACCCTAGTGATGCCCAGCTTCTTCCACGTGCTTACCAGCCATCAGCGTATCTCTTTTGCTGAGATGGTTACTTAAGTCCTCTGTCTATTTTTAACTAGATTTTTTTTGTTGTTTTGTTTGAGAAATTAATTTATATATGCTGGTTATTAATTTGTAGCAGTTATCTAGTTTTCAAATCATTTACCTCCTTCTATAAGTTGCCTTTCTGTTCTGCTGATAACATCTTTTTTTTTTTTTAAAGAGTAAAAGAAAAACAATATAGCAATAGGGGGATTCATCAAATTACAGACAAAGTGGTAGGATATTATCAATGGTTGTTATTTTACCTACTGGTATCTTCAAGATAGTTTCTCAGGAAAACAAATAGACTAATGATAGTGAGTTACAGACAAAAATGGCAGGACATTATCAATGGTTGTTGTACTATATCTTGGTTTCTCCAAAGTGGTCTCTAGGGAAAACAAATAGAGCTATACATGAGTGATCAATCAAATAATCATTGACTATTCTCAGTGGTTGTTGTTGAAAACACATAGTAACAGACATACATCCATTTACAAAATAGTATAGGAACAATACAAACATTACAGAGTTATGGACGGATTGGTAGGAAATCATCAATGGCTGCTGCACAAGGTGTCGGCATCCTCAAAGTGGTTTCTCAGGAAAACAAAGATATGACAGAAAGATCCAACAAGTACTTACAGCCCAAGGGTTGTGAAAAATAGCGGATTACCTCCTCATCAGTGACTCCTTTCACTGAGGTGTGATGGCTGGAAGGAAGGCCAGGACTGAAAAGAAGGGCCAAGAGACCAGCACCAGTGTCCAGAAAAGGGCCGTCCACTTTTTCCTCTCTAGTCATGATTTCGCAGGGCTCCTCCTTGGAGACAATGGTCTGGCCAGAGGGAGAAGGCAGAGTATGCCCTGGGCCCCTTTATTCCTGTCGGACCAGCTGGTAGGTGGGGTCCGAGCCCCAGGGCCCCTGCTCCAGAGGGCAGCCCGACCTCAGTGGCCACCCCCACAGTCAGGGCATGGCCCAGGGGGCCTCTCAGGGCAGTCCCTCCCAAGGCGGCCCAGCCCTCCACAGCGGCAGCAGATGAATGCAGTTGACAAGCCCCCCCCCTTTCTCCCGGGGCGCTGAGAACCAGACCCAGGGACTGCTTCTCCCAATGCTGCAACAGAGATAGCAGTCCCCTCATGGTCCCTCTGCCCTCTCCCCTTGGCCTCCCCCTCACCACAGCCACAAAACACTGAGAAGGCGACTCCCACCAACATCTCAAGCGAGCCATCCAGAGCAAAAGCCATCCGCAGCCCCCTTCCACTATCTGGGGCTGACTGAGCAACAAACCCATCCTCAAGAATAGTTTGTCCCTCTACTGAACTGGGATCCAGGGAAGTATGCTTTATCAATGCTCCTGGTCTAAGAAAGCAGAGGGGTGTTCTCTCCAGCCTCCCAGCACACTGGGACCCTGCAACCACTTAGTGTCCTCTCCCCAGCCATCAACACAGGCAGTAAGAACATGTGGATGAATTCTTCGGCCCGCTAATCAGTCTCAGCACTGTCAGGTGCAAAGTGTCCCAGGCAGGTAACCTAGACACGTACCTTCTCCATGAAGGTGGTTCTACAGAATCTGAATAGTGGGCACCTGTATAATCCATGAAGTCTCGGTGCAGACCTCTCTGGGGCTCCACTTGCTCCTACACCACAGCCTGTACAGTTAGGGGAAGAATGGCCTCCAGGGGGTCTCCCCGGGTATTGCACAAGGTCCTCTGGGTTTCCAGCTCCCGAATGGCTCTCGCGTCCCCAGTCAGCTCTACCTTTGAGTCGTAGGGCATCGGTACTCTCTTGTTCTCCGAGTCCTTGTTCATGGGCTGCTCCTTCCCTGACTCCGGACCTTTCTGGCTCTCAAGGGCAGGGCCAAGAGCCACCCACCATGTGGCATGTTTTCCCAGAGGTTTCTCCGTGTCGGGATGGTTCATGCACATCTCCAGGCGGGCCTATTGTGTCGGTGCTTCTCTGTGGCATGGCGGTTCTCCACGCCATTTCCTGGGTGCCTGCTGCCTGCCTTTCCAGGTGCCTGCAGGGTGGGACACCCCAGCTGCACCGCCTCCCTCCCCAAACGGGCCGGTAATGTCTTTTGACATACAAAAGATTTTACTTTTGAAAAAATCCAATTTGTCTATTTTTTCTT